GTGAATCTGTAGCCAGTAACACTGCTAAAGGCATGAGGGTTGCTTCTGTTCTGAGGCTGTTCATTTCACTTTTAACTTTCTTTCTAACTTTAATTTTATTTTCATTCAAATTAAGAATATGTAGTGCAGAGCTGTCAGTTTTCACTCGGCTCAAGCCAACATAATGCATGTGCTCTCTTGTGGATTTTGGGAAATCAACAACAGCTTCATCTAAAGTATCACCTTGACAACGATAAATAGTCTTGGCAGCAGCGGGTCTAAGTGGAAACTGACGTCGAAGAATTTTTACTTTACTCTTTTTATTGATTTGGAATTGTTTAGCATTTCATATTTGGCATTTGTTATAGTATCTGGTATTCGGCATTTAGTATTTGGGATATGGTATTTGGCATTTGTTTGGCAATTGTTCAGAACCTTTTTAGCAGTCTCGTTTACAGAATTTAAGTCCCAGTGAGAGGGGAACTCGACGTAAGGTCCTTCGAACCTGAACGTCTCTTGGCCTTATAATATACTCAGGCCAGTCGGGAGTTCCGTAAATGCTTCTGTCCCGAAATATACTAAGGACACGTTAGGAGCATTTTCAGTGCAAACGAAATGCATAGTGCTGATACTTAAGACCTTTAACAGATAGAAATCAACTCCCCAAACGGACCACATGCAAAATATGGCGAACACCAGAACTCACGACACCTAGAAGAACATGTGCTTTCTCATGTGACATTTTCCGAACACTTTCCGAACGATTGGCCAAATCTCAATGAGTGCTTATTTTAAAATTATTATAATTTTATGTTGCAAGTTCTACACTAGATGCCATACGTTAAGAGGAGGAAGGCTTACCTTTTGTCCCAGATGATAAACCGCTCATTTCAACATACTGCTTTCTTCCTGTCGTCAGTCGATTCGTCATCCTCCAAGGGGGTGTCACGAAAACTAAGACCTAAGACCTAACACCTAACACCTAAGACCCCTCGAAAACTAAGACCTCTCGAAAACTAAGAACCCTGGAAAACTAAGATCCGA